TCGAGCGCAGCGAGCCCGTTGCGCTCGATGAGCGAGCCGCCGCCGTTGGTGGAGCCGAGCGAGGCGGGCATGCCGAGTGGGGGGCCTGTGTGCGCGGAGGTTAGCATGCATGCATTATTTCGTTCATCCTCGTTCCTCATTCCTCCTGGTTCCTCCTCCTGCACCCTCCGCCCGATGCAAAACGGGCGTAGAGCGAGGAAAGGTAGCAGCAGCAAACGCAAACGCAAACAAACGACTCACCAATCCCCATCCCCCCCAACCCCATCCCCCCAAACTTCGCCTCCACCGGACTCCCATACCCTCCCCCATTAATCCCGCCGTTATTCATCCCCATAATCCCCCCATTCGCCGAGTACATGCCCCCGAGGTGCGATTGTTGCTGCTGTTGCTGCTGCTGTTGGCCGTGGTGCGATTGTTGGTGTGATTGGGAGTGCGGGGAGTGCATGTGCAGCCCGCCCATGCCGCCGTGCGCGCCGTGGTGCATCGGGACGCCTAAAAAAAGAAAAGGTATTATCAGCGCCGCATTAATTGGTATGAGGAGGAGCAAGGAAAGGGCAGGGTAAGTAGAAGGAAGGAAGGAAGGAAGTAGAAAGGAAGCGCCACTTACCACCATGCATCCCGCCCCCCATATGCCCATGCAGACTCCCCAAATGCGGCGAGTGCAGCCCATGCGGCGAGTTGAGGCTGTGCGGCGAGTTGAGAGAGTGCGGCGAGTTGAGGGAGTGGAGCGAGCCGAGGGAGGGGAGCGAGGGGAGCGAGGTGAGGGAGGGGAGGGAGTCGGGGGTGGCGTGCGTGTGGGGGTAGTCGCTGGAAAATCGTAAGCATCGTGTTTGTTGGGATTTGGGGGGGAGAGCGAGGAAGGAAGGAAGGAAGGAAGGAAGGAAGGAAGGAAGGAAGGAATTAGAAGGAAAGTGCGCGATGATCTTTCCGAGACCGTACACGTGAATAAGCGCCAGCGCCCACCAAAGATAGGACAAGCGCCCAAGTCCAGGCCGAGCGATGTCTGCCCATCACAAGCGCCTACCGATTTCCGTCGGTAAACCGACGACGCATGGCGGACCGCAGAACGACTAGACATCGCAACAGCACCCGCGCACTCTCGGTCGTGGGCGGCCCCACGACCACCAACACTCCACGTACTCGCAGCGACGAGCATCAAAACTCCGGCGCGACGGCACACGAAGGCGCACCTGCATCGACGACGGACACCACAGCACCATGACCACGACCACACCCACAACACCCACAACACAGCACTGGCGCCGTCCCCGCGCAGACTCGTTTGTGCATTTCGCCGCCGCGCTGCGCATGTGCGAATGCGATCCTCGTCTCCGCATCGAGCGTCGAGCGTCGAAACTCGATACGGCCACGGCCACATGCGCGCGTCCCCCCACTCTCTTGAAGATAGCAAGGCAGAAAGCGACTCACCCAAACCACCCCCCCTGCCCTGCCCCGGCGCCCTGCGCGTGCTGGTACGGCGAGCCGCGGTGTGTGTTCGGGGCGTTGCCTGCGTTATTCAATTTGGTTAGCACGGGATTAGGACAAGGCAAAATAAAATAAACAAAATAAAATAAATATATATATTATCACAAGGCGGGAGGAGCCAAAGAAGGAAGAAAGAAAGAAAGAAAGAAGGAAGCAAGGAAGATCGTCGTCGTCGCGCAAAGACCTCGACCCAAACGTCTAGCCACAACCGTAGCCGTAGTCGACGAAAGAACAAGTGGTCGTCGTCGTCGTGTAGTGAAGAACGCATAAGACAAGTAAAGCGAAGGGAGAAGAAGGTCTCGATTGTGCGTATGTAGCCGAAGGAAGACGAGCCAAAAAAAGCAGAACAAGGACGAGACCAAGAGCCTGGCCTATAAAGGCCTCGATCGAATGCCGTAGCGAAGGAAGAAGAAGACGCCAAAAAAGCCAAGGCCAAGCGAAGGAAGCCGTCGCCGACGCGAGGAAGCTCGAGTCGTCAGCGCCACGAAACGTGGGTGGGCAAGCGAGACGAAGTCGCGAGCAAGGCCAAGCGAAGGACGAGGTCATCGTGTCGCGTAGTGAACGAAAGAAAGAGAAGAACGCGCCGCCAACGGCACGAGAAGTGGCCCAGGAACTCGACGAAGAAAAAGAAGATCGTCGCGTAGCGAAAGAAGCAACCAACCCAAGGCAACGCGAAAAAAAAAAGGTGGAAAGTGCGGGGTTAATGCGGGGTAGACGTACGCATAAACGAATAAACGAATAAACAAGATAAGGATAAAGCCCGACCGACTGGACTCGAAGAACACAAGTCGTCGCGGCGGCGTCTCGCAATTCAAATCGCCCGACTGGACTCGAAACACAGTCAAGTCGTCGCTCGACGATCCCCGGGTATTTGCATTACCGACGCCGTCGATCAATTGGCGACAGCGCAACGCAACGCAACGCAACGCGGGGTAAGCAGTATGGGGTAATCCCGCCCGTCCCCGCCCCCGCGCCCGCCGGGCTAGGGGTGGATGGATACCCCAAAAGGCAGTGATAGGCGACGAAAAATCCAAAAAATAGAGGAGAGGGTAATAATAGCGTCCAAAAAATAACCCGGGTAAACTAGGTCCGAAGAAGTGAAGTGAAGTGAAGTATGACAACGAAACGAAAAAAGAAAAACGAAATCAAGTGGAGTGGAGTGGGGTATGGCAGCGGCGCAAAAATAAGAAGCATGGGCCGAAGTGCGGAACGCAAGATAACGAGTGTAGAAAGAAAAAGATAACAAGGGAGGGAGGAGACTCACCATGCCCACTCGGAATGACGATCGCCTGCGGGACGGGGCGCGGGGGCGGGCTAGTACTGCTCAGAGATCCATTGCGCCTCGCGCGCGTCGTGCGCGTCGGCCCACCCGCCGGTGTCGCTGCAGCACCGTCATTCACAATCAAAGCAAAGGCAGACACGCAAGACTCACGCTGCTGCGCCAAATGCGAGCTCGGCGGCCGACTGCGACTGCGACTGCGACTCGCCTGGGCATGGGGACTCGGGCTGCGGAAGCTCGAGGGGCTGGCCATGCCGTAGCTCCCCGCACCACCTCCCGCAGACGAGGGCGGCGGGTGCGGGTCATACCGCATGCTGCTGTTCAGCGCGGGCAGCGTCGAGTTGAAGTGGTATGGCTGCGGCTCGTGCCCGTTACTCCCGTTCGGGCTCCCGCCTCCGTTGTTGTTGTTGTGCGGGGTGGAGGACGAGGGGAGGGAAAAGTGGCTGGGGAAGGAGGAGGTGGAGGAGGCGGAGGCAGAGTGCTGGTGCTGGTGCGGCGCGCTGATATCAAATATGTTGTGGGTGTGCGGCGGGGGTCTGTACCCGTCCCCGCCATTGCTGCTCGACGACGAGCCATCGTGGTTGTTGTTGTACCCCACGGGACTCTGCGTGTGGGTGCTCCGCTCGCTGCTCTGGCCAATCAGACTAGCGAGCTCGTCGTTAAAGTCGCCGATGCCGGCGTGGCCCATGCTGCCAAAGATATTGCTGCCGTCGTGTCCGTGGAGGGGCGGGGGGGTGTCGGCGCTGGGGGGCGGGGACGGGAGATGGAAACCCTCCTGCCTCACGTGGGGCTTGTACTGCGCGAATGCAGACGCCATTAAATGCTGTTGATTTGAGTGGAGAGACGCGGACAAGCAAGCGCGATGCACCGATGTGGGGAAAAGTATCTATACCCCGGACCCCGGCCCGTCCCCCATCTCCATTAGAACAGATCGATCTCAATCTAACAACCAATCAACCGCACACACTCTCACGTCAACCGACAGCGGTCCCACTAGGACCCCATCACTTCCCCGCTTGATCGCTGATAGACTTCCACGTTTTTGTTCTTCGACGAGGCGCCCGCGGATCCTTTTCTTCCAGCTTCGTATCTTTTAGACGAACTTCGTATCCTTTAGACTCGCGATGTCGCGTCCCTTGCATTGTGCCTCGACGGAAACAGGTGGATCCCTGATAGACCTGCTTTGTTTGTTCTTCCTCGCGTGCAACTACTCATCTTGCATTTGTCATTAACCCAGGTCAAGCCCGAGGTACTAATCGGGCTCGACCTCCTGCCCTGCTTACTCCCAGTTAATATACCCGGCAACTATGAGTCTGCGCCGACATTCAAGCTATGCGCTCAAGCTCGCTTGTTTCAATTTGCCGCCAACTCAGCCAGCGCCAGCGCCAGTGCCAACTCACCGCCCTACCTGCCTGGTCCCTGGGTGCCAGTGCGTTCCGACAACAACTTCAAAAGTTCAACGCCATGCGCGAGCCTGAGTCAGGGTCAGCACTGAGTTAGTTACCCTGTGATTTCATGTTTGAAACCCTTTCATGAAACCCACCCAGCCCGCTCCGGCTTCGCGGTTTCAAGTACCCCGGGGTCGCATGCATTTATGTACCCCGGCGTCGCATGCTTTTAATTTCGTTTCGTTTCATTTCTCCGGATCCCCGAACAAAACTCAGGCTTGGTAAGTAAGTTATGATTGGCGTTTCGCGTGGGTCCTCGCGACGCCGGTGGTAAGCGACCAACAACTCGACCATGTCTTCCTTCCCAGCTACAAGTACTCAGTACTCGGTACTCACATCCCTTCGGGCCTTTCGTGATCAGTCAAAGCCGTCATCGAAATTAAATCACTTGACTTCAAGTCGGCGTACAGGCGCACAGTACACATTTCGATTCGTCGAGCCCATAAACGTCGCTCTCAATCGTATTGCGCACCGTGCGTCATTTTGCTCTGAATCCTTCCTCCAAACGGACGAACGAACCAACAATCAGAGCCGTAAAACCAAAATCGCATATCACATTCCATTCACTCCCCCGGTGCGATGTTGCCTATAGCTACGTACCTTATTAACTTATCGACTTACCTACCCACCTACCTACACAAGTTCCTCCCGCTCAACTTGATGTCGACGGGAACCAATTGCAAATAAAATTCCCACGGTTCGAATCCCCCTCCTTCCCTCCTTTCTTTTAGTCCGGTTGCAGTTGCCACTTACACAGCACCACCACCTTTGTAGAATGTAGGAACAACGACCTGATAGCACAACGGTTAGTGCCTCTGCTCATCTTAGCGAAGAATTGAACGCTTTGGCAGATGATCCCCGTTCGATCCGGGGTCAGGTCGTGTCTCATTGCATTGAAGTTTTTTCTTTTCAACCCAATTTATGCCAAGTAAGTAAGATGTAGTCAATGGTGGGAACAAAAGGAGAAAAGACCCGACGGCACAATGACCCTGCTGAGGTCTGTTCAATTTTTCTTTTCATTCTCATTGCCCCAAGTCAGCTGCACTCAAAGTACCACACCACGACCTTTATGGGCACAGGAACAATGACCTGGTAGCACAATGGTTAGTGCCTCTGCTCTACTTAAAAGTGTGTGGAAATCTTCAGCAGAAGATCCCTGTTCAATTTGGGGTCAGGTCACAACTCTTCATCTTCAGTTTTTTTTTCTTCCTGTGGAATCCCTGCTGACTGGCTGCACAGGCGAGAGTACAGTACCACTGACACTAATCATACCCTTTTGCAGAGTACAAGAGATGTGTTTTGATAGCACGATCCCTGCTGAGGTCTGTTCAATTTTTCTTTTCATTCACATCGCCCAAGTCCAGTTGCAGATTGCAGTCAGATATACAGTACTCCTACCCTTAATGAGACAAAGGAACAATGACCTGATAGCACAATGGTTAGTGCCTCTGCTCAACTTACTGATGAAAACCAGGTGTAGCAGATGATCCCCGTTTGATTCGGGGTCAGATCATGAGTCGAAGCAGTAGACTTTTCTTTTTTTTTTCAACTCAACTCAATTCAATCCATGCTAAGGAAGTTGCCGTCAGGAAGGAAGACCCGATGGCGCGATGACCCTGCTGAGGTAGGTCTCTGTTCAAAATATTTATCGGAATTTACCCCAAGTCCAGTTGCCCAAGTCCAGGTGTACAGCACTACCAGCCATTGTGGATGCAGGAACAATGATCTGATAGCACGATGGGTTAGTGCCTCTGCTTGATTTGGATGCCGCGTAATCTTTCAGTAGATGATCCCTGTTAGATTCGGGGTCAGCTCATATCTCTTCATCCGGATTTTTTTTGTTCTTCTTCCTCTTGGAATCCCTCCTAAGTTGTTGCACCGGCGAGAGTACAACCACTAATCATTCCATTTGGTGAAGTACTGGAGGTGGCTTGGTAGCACAAATAACCCTCCTGAGGTAGGTAGGGTCTCTGTTCAATTTTTTTTTTCAGAATGGTCACAAGTCCAGATACAGTCAAAGTACCACACTACTAGCCTTTGTGGATATAAAAATGATGACCTGATAGCACAATGGTCAGTGCCTCTGCTCTATTTAATGTTGCTGTAGATTTTCAACAGATGATCTCCGTTCGATTCGGGGTCAGGTCATGCGGCATTATGTTATACTTTTTTTTTTTCGACTCAATTCAGTTCATGCTCAGTCAAATGCACAGCAGAAGGAAGACCTGGTAGCACGGTAGACTAATCCTACTGAGGTCTCTTGGAATGTATGTATATTTCTTGCTCCCCAGTTTTGGCCCAAGTACAGGTCCAGTTGCAGTCAAAGTACCACACCACGACCTTTATGGGTTTGGGAATAATGACCTAATAGCACAATGGTTAGTGCCTCTGCCCATCTTAGAAGTGTCGAAATCTTCAGCAGATGATCCCTGTTCAACTCGGGGTCAGGTCATGGACAGGAGTCATATCTTTTTCAACAAGAATCTCATTCCCCTTCTCACAATGTTGTCCGGTGCCCCGTATTCTCTTTTGACTGTTCAACTTCTGGGCAGTTGGGTCCTAAGTAGTTGAGAATGACGCTGCTCACTCACTCAGTGTTGAAATCCAATCATGGCCAAATATTCACTTCTTTACTCCTTACGTTAGGACATAGGCCTTAACTCAGAGTTGTCCTATGAACAATGCATCAAGGACCTGGTAGCACAACGGTCAGTGCGTCTGCCCAATTTACATCCGTCAAATCGTGTATAGGCAGATGATCCCTGTTCGATTCGGGGTCAGGTCATGTCTCTTCTTCATTATTTTTGTCCCCTCTCTTTTTAAAAAAGATCTTCTGACTCTCCCTCATTCCCCAGAGCTGGGCCTTTTTCAACCATTCAACTTCGTGCAGGTGGAATGAACCGCGGGGAAATTCAACCATGCAGTTCTCTCACTCTTGTCCTACTATTATAATCAAACCAAACACAGGTCAGACTCAACTTTGGGCCAGTGGGCTAACGACCTGGTGCACAATGGTTAGTGCCTCTGCTCAATTTGCAGCGTATGCAGAAACATTCGACAGATGATCCTCGTTTGATTCGGGGTCAGGTCATGAGCTTTCCAGATTCTGTTTTTTTTGCTCTTTGTCAAACGGGTGGCCAGCTTACCTCAGTGTGTGCCCTCGTTTGGCTTTTTTATTGCGCAGCGGCTTTGTAGTCCACTGACATCTAATGTTATCTGGTGAACCGTCGAATTTGAACCGTGGGAATTGATTTCTGTTTTCCCAAAATCGTCCTTGTTCGGAAGCACTCAGCTCGAAGCTTGAGGGACAGCGAATGCTGAGCTCTCCTAAAGAGCCATGACCGGGAGCATCTTGACCGCCTCGTCTCATTAGATCTTCAACGCATCAGATTGAACCTTCGAAACCCGGGTATGTACGTACTATGTATGAGTTGCACCTTGCCCAGTGCACTTCAGTTCACCTTAAACCGATACCCGCTTCCCTTCCCGCCGCCTGCTTCCCTTCTAAGAATCTTAACGATCATGCCAACCGAGAGGACCCCGGCCCCTTCTATTTTCATAAGTTAGATTCTATTTCCACTCTTTGTCCCCTTTTTCAGTCTTGACATGTTACGCAATTCGCGCGGGAGGTGTTGAGTTCCGTTTACGGAAGTGCCAGATTTCTTGACACCGACAAGCGGCGATTTCGCCGCCCAAAAGCCCTCAAGCCGGGGTACGTAAAGCGTAAGGCGGCAATTAATTGAATGGGTCAGTGACACCGTGGGTCGATGTGCATGAAGATCTGTGGGAAGGGCGACAACTACGCGGGAGTCGCAAAAGGAAGTTTTGAACGGGGTTTTGAACGGAGGTGAATGTTAATTGTGACGGTGGTTGGTTGAACAACCGTCGAATTCCGGGTGGTTGTGTATGTACATACAGATTTAACACAGTGGAGGACATGCATGTGGACGTCCCCCCGGCATGCCGTCTTGGTCCAGCGTGAATCCAACCACACCTAAAATTCGGGCGTTCAAACCCCGCGATATTACCACAGTAGTGCCGAGCACAGCGGCGGAGGATGGACGTCCCTCCGCGCGGCGGCATGACGTCGTGGTTCAGCAAATCCAACCACATAATCCAAAACTAGGTTGCTTCCTAATATGCACACAAGAAGGTTCGATCAAGCCAAGATGCATGCGTGAGTGTGGGTACTTACATACAAAGTGATATCCATGTGCTTCCGAAACGGAGGATGGGTGACTTCATCTGTTTGTTTTGGTAGTTCAACCGAGGGGGGGAAATAAAAACGCGCTCGGCGCGGATGTTGACTCCAATATGAATGCCACCATGAGCCACCCATCGAGTAGCATACTCGAACCGAGCATCGCGAGATAATTCATCATTTCTCGACGCCACCACGCGGAGAGCCTGAGTATTGTGTGGCTATTATTACCACACTTTTAGCCACTGGGCGTGGTTCTGGCACCGGGAACTGTTGCTGTAATGCGGGATCGAGCGCAGAGAGGTGGTGTCGGATGACCGGCGGCGTCTTGAGGGGACGGCAGACGGTTTAGTTGAAATCATCACAGACATGTGTTTCGAAGGTTTAATTCTCCTTGGACATCTTATTGACATTGATTCGAGGCTACGCAAGTCACTCGTACCCCGGCATTTCAGCATCCGAACAGGCACGTTGCACTGAAAGAAAGGGGAGGGAAACTAAAATCGAACCACGCACCTGCAATGATCCCAATATCACCCAAACCGTAATCGTAAACAATCACCCGGAACCGGCTGTAGTTTCGTCAATTTAGCTTTCTTTCAACGAACTTGCGCTTCCGAGACACTTCGTTCATAGGAAACAATACCGGTACAATTGCAGCTAAATTAAGACAAGTAAGTAAGTACCTGCCTGGGAAGAGTTACTTCCAGCGGCCCGGGCGAGCCCGCCTTCGACGAATCATCTAACATACTTACTTGGAAAGGAAGTGAACAACCGAGACTAAGGATTGTAGGAAGTGAGAAGTGAACCGAGCCAAAGGACGCGGGACCAACACTGGAAGGAAAGAAGAGCCAAGAAAGAGACGAAACCTTTAAACGACGTCATCGATTCACGTTGTCGCTTGTTGACATCCAAAAAAAAGAACTTCGAAGCCGAGGAGGCGGATAAAGTTGGGAGAAAATCGGTCCCGACGGGTATACATCGGTGAATGCGCTGGTTCTTTCAGTTTTGCCAGATTTATTTAGGTAGGCGCATAGATTGCCGTAGACAAAAATGGGTACGGGTACGGAGCGGAAGGAAGGGTGGAGAGCGGGAGAGGGCAGAGAGGAAAATTGGTTAGTCCGGGCAGGAGCGGCGTTTGGCGGCGTAAGGGGTAAAGGGCGGTCATGAATGGGGAGGTGAAGATTACAACTGGCCGGACCTTGCGCTTGGGCAAAGTTTTGGTGACGACGACGAACGGAGGTCGGAGCGGTGCATTGTAAGTTGTAGGTAAGTTGCCAGAAGCCAGAATAAGTTAACGACGAAGGAACCTAGAGCAAGGACGGAGCTACGCGCGCAAAACCAAGTCGACCAAGCAAACTCGCAAGGCCGAAGAACCAGCGGAGCCAAAGTGTAACAAAGGAGCCAAGTCCGCCATCCGGTGCGGACGAAAGACACCGGGGAGGGTTGTTTAGCCGGAGGAGAGAGCCAAGTCCGGAGTCCGGCACGATTCCGCAGAGGTAAACGCCGGAGCAAGCGAGAAACACGGGCCCCGTTGGAGTGTCGCACGGAAGGACGACAAGCTGTTGAGATAGCGTCGTTGTCCAATCAACGAGCAGTCGCATAGACGCGTATTGCGACAGAAATCAACATCAGCCACCTATCATTGCCAGTCCCCCGAAAGCGATGGAAGCCGCGAAGCGTTGTAGACAAGCTGAAAAAAGCGTGAACTTGAAGTCTTGAGCCTCCATGTGCACTCCGACTCGCATCTTGGTGGCACAGTGTCGAAGTGGATCCTCGAGAAAAGGTGGACAGACAAAAATCACGAACGCAAGACGCGGCAGAAGGTTGTGGGCGCGGTATGCTGGCATCCCGGCCGCACCGCCGTGCCGAGCGGCGAATGTCTGTAAAACGTCGCGCCGCAAGTCCGTTAGAAAACTCGTCGAATCAGAACCTGTAAAGCATGATTAACATCTGCGCCCCGCCCCTCCAAGGCACCACAGAAGTTCAAGTTACGCACCAAAGCTGGCACCTCCGAATGCGGTCTTCACTCTGCAGAATTCCGCCCGATTTCCCAGATCCCCCATAGCGCCCGACAACCCCGACCCGTAAACACATGCGCGTCCACCACCATGTGCGCCGCAACCCAATCCGCAACCAATGGCGCACGACCCAATCGAAATCAGAAGAAGATCTGTCTTGTTTTCCGGGTCGGTGCGGTTTATTGTTTGCTTTTCCGTTTAGCCGTATCATAATCCGATGGCGCGGCGGCAACTGCCGGGGCGGGCACAACTATGGCAAGTCGACATTTGAACGAGGTGGCCGAAATTGCA